TCCATGGTTCTTCACATGCCGAGTCCTTGCAATCAACCCTGAACAAATGAATTGGACGACTTACCAGCAAGTCAAATACGAGATGAAGTGTATATCAGCTTGGTTGCAACTTACTCACTAGATAAATCCCAGACCGTTTTTCAACTGCGTGTGCCAATGTATGGGGTGTTGAAGTTTTTAGGGGAAGAGGCCAGTTTGATCCACTCACCCTGCCCTCCCAAACGACAGGCGTTGTCCAAGTTGCCACCAAACGTCAATAGCGAGCCAACAGGCAAACTCACCCTGTTCGGCGACGCTGCCTGGAGCAGGCCTCGATGGCATCAGGGTTTCCCCAACCCCGGGTGACACCAGGGTTTCTGGCGTTTTTGCTCTCGACATGAGTCAGCCCAATGTTTCAGCCCCATTGCTTGCAGTCTTGCAGTTCGCATTTCCGATGAGTAAGTCTCCTTCCGTGTTCGGACTGTCACCTGTCATTTCCCTTTCCGATAGCAGAGTACTCAATGGCTACCTTGATCCCGCTTGTTCGACTGTTCCAAAATCATCTTGTACGAGGTAGGGGTCTACCTACCACCATGAAGGCTCGTCTTGTGGCTGGCCGTGCCGAAGTGGCGGCGCGAAAGGCAGGGAAAAGGGTGCTGGGTGCTGTAGATTCGGCCGAACAGGTCATGAAAGAAACATTGCGATTCCTGCACCGTCGTATCGGTGGGCCCCAAGGACGTTCAGGGGGTGCTCGCATGCCAGTAGTTTGTTGGCCTTATCTGCATCTCGGTGTAATGGTTGTCAGGAGTCATTGCCTGCTCAACCCTGGAGTTACAGTAGCCCAAAGGAAGCCGCTTGCAGGGATGCAAACGCATTGTCGGGGTCCTGTTCCAACCTCCGGCTAAATTGCGCTATGCGTGTCACCAACTCCTTCCAGTGCTGTTGCCACTACGTCTCGGACCGTAAGTCGAGCTTGCCAGCGCTTGCTTGCCAAGGTGGCTGCAAAACTTTCGAGTCTCGTAGATTCCTCAGGGGACACATCGGGAGCGAGCGACTAGCATCCCCGTGAAAGGCGTCAAGACCCGCTTCGAGGATTGCATTCTCTTGAATACAGGCGCCACAAATGGCAATGCACGAGTTATTGTGGCGACTGTCTCGAGAAACTTTATTGACGGTAGCCTGTTCACATTTGTTGTCACCAGAAAAGGTCGATATGTCCGTACACATCGTCTGTCGGTGTGAAGATCGAGAAGTGATGACGGCGGCATCAGATCCATGTACTTAAGGGTCCTGCAAGCCGTTCAAGGTTTCTTGTGAAGCCGAAGCAGAGCTGCTTGATACCGCGCTACAACCACCATAGCATAGCCTCGAATGCTGAGACTTCTTCTTGCTCCATTTGTGAGTATGCTAGAACATTCTTCTGCCGTCATTACTTTGTGTCGAATGGTTACGACGTCCTTCAGTGAGATATCGCAATCGTTCAACAAAAAGCTCTTGCAAAATTCGAGGTGATGATCTCGTGGCAAACAGTGTCAGGGCAACGTTCTCGTGTATTTCGACGGGCAGAAAGACGATGTGAGCCGATAAGATCCTTATGCAATCGATAAAACAGTTGAAGCAGGATATACTGCACAGATAAGGACAAATCGGCAAACTATATGCCTCTTAAGCTGTTGCCGCTTCCAAAACTGTGTAGGACTCGATTAAGCAAGACATACTTAGACAATATGATATGCATGGAATTTGGCAGGAGATGTTGATCAAGACCGCCGGATGCTTGGGGTGTGAAATGGTTTAATATTCATGACCTCATTAATGTAAGTTTTGCTAAAGGCGTCAATCCATCTAGTTATACCGAACTCTTCTAGACGGTGGCTTTGTTTCTTTTCATGTCCTGGTTCAGAAAATTGCGGAGATTCGACCATGCCGTCTCGCATTGAGGATATAGGAAGGAATGAGAGTGAACGGGTTAGAGGTGAATGTGGGTGGTCATGTCTCTAATTTCAAACGTGGAAGAGGATGAGACAGGCACAGTGTGCAACCATCTGTGGAAAGAGAGCATCTGGAGGTCAAGCTGAATGCACAGCTTTTGGCCGTCGAGCGAGGAAGCGGGGAGGCAATAGTGAGTGTGTCTGCGTGGGGGACATGCCCATTTAGCGGTAGCTGCTTGACAGAGTGCATGTCAGGCTGTTCGGCGGTCTTCCTGAGTCATGATGAGACATGACAAAGGTTCTATGTTGGTATTGCAGTTGGGTTGGATTGGGGAGCAGAGAGTGAGAGTTGTTTACGATGTTCGTTCGGTGTGGGAACAGCTCTCGGCAAACCTTCTCTATGAAGGTGCTGTGAATGATTGAGGTCTGACAAATTCAAATGACACACACCGCCGAAATAGGGACTGGCGGCTCCCAGAATCTCTCCGACACCTCAGCCTCATGAAATATTCGGGGCGCCGTATGCTTCTTCTCCTCACAGCGGTATTTCTTTGTTTCCCAAGAGTGTCTCTTAGGGACCCAACAGGAGGTTACTCGACTTTCAGCTGCAGTTTTTCTGTATATCAGCAGGACTGGGGAAATTCAAAGGTTTGTCTGCTCACAAGATAAAATCCAAAGTTGGAAGCAGGAGAGAATATTCTAGTAAAGATTACCAAAAACGTTGTAAGATCTTATATTTTCTGTTGTCTCGCATCAATGAAGAGTGATTTTCCACTTGCGAGCAGCTTGCCCTGCCCGTCCTCGATCCTCGCCTTGATCCATGTTTTCCGCCCTTGTCGCTCGATCGGCCATGCGCGACACAGTATCACCCCTGGCGTGTCAATCGGCGCCTTGTAATCGACTGTCATGGTAGCTGTCGACGGTGCCATGGTCTGCGACACCATTGACGCCACAGTTCCAGTCATCTGATCCAGCAACAAGGCATTGAACCCTCCGTGTGCACGACCCGTCTTGCCATCGATCCCAGGCCCAAGGGACAAGAGACAACAGTATTCCCAGGGAATAATAGAATCCGGCTCTGCCGTGCGTCGCTTAAAGTTGATTTGCGCGCGGATACCGTCGGCGGTGTAGAGCGTCTGTCGGAACATACTGTTGGAGAGATCTTTGTTAAACGGGGGATCATTCCGATAAGGGTGCTGATAGGGTATATCGACATCGAAGATGTCAGACTGCAAAAGGTTCTTGCACCAAGGAATATCAAAGTCTGCGTGAAGTTTGGACACCATGGTTGTTGAAGCAGCTTTTGAGGTCTTTATGTTGTTGGCCGGAATGATTTGAGCAATTGACCGAGAAAATGAGAGGAACCGAACCGCTAGCTCCCAATACTTCTATCCGCAATGCTCTAAAGCTGGGGTGGCTATGACTGAAAGAGTGGCAAGCGACACGGCGTTCTTCCAACAAAACACGATAAGAAATACAAGGCAATGGTGTTGGGACAATATTTCAAAAGGTGGTAGACTTCAACCCACCTTGTACCTGATGAGCCTCGGTACATCCACATTTAGCAACCCCGGCGATACCGGCCCGGCTCACCTTGGCAAGTTTGGCGCAATTGCCTCCCCACGTCCTCCGACACCAATGCGGGGGTGGGTGGATAAGTTCGCCTCTTCAGTTTCATTCGCGCCTTTACCCTAGCCTGCCAGACTCCCACACCTGTCTAGGTAGGCAAGGCTCTCGAGTCGAGATTGTCGGGCGCTCTCTCCGGGACCATCTTTTTCTAGACACACATGCTACTCCATACACGATTCATCGCACATTGATCGCGTCCGAGGTTGAAGGCTGAAAATAGGATCAACAGGGTATCATTAGTTGCAGTTGCCAAGGAAAGAATGGGAGTTTCAAGTGTCATTATGAAGGAATTACGGGGAAACAAGCGAAGGACACAAGTCTTGATACTGGACAGTCTGGCCACCGACGCAGCATCATCATCCACCGAACGATGACATTGCGGCGACGGCGACCTCTCCAGAGCCATCGCTAACTTTATCAATTCCACAGTTGCTGATACTACCTTGCGTGGGGACCCCGAAACCTCCCAGTCCTGCGTCTTCAACGCCAGTCATCTCCCAACTTACCGTCTCACGAGCTTGATACGTGGTCCTGTGTCTCGGTACCACCATTCTCGGGTCAGCTAGTCAACCGTCATCGCACAGAATTCACATCGCGTGGTGGGAATAGACTCCGGTATCTGCGAGGACAAGGACAGGTACAGGAATATTTGTTTCCAGATCAGCCACAGACGACGTTGATCTCTGTCGTCGAGGCTGTTAGTTCAGGGCACGCTCTCAGAACCCGTACCTGATGAGGATTCCGCTCTCAATGGCCTTCGCCTCCAACGGGCAGCAGTCTGGCCTGGAGCCACCCAAACTTAAGACCAAAACGCATGTCTGGTATATGCCAGTCTCACAATTAGTATCGACTGTAGTTGTGTGATATAAATTCATTCGGTATTGTCACAGTCGAGAACGCTCGCTTCGTAGGCGAGCTGAGAAGAAATAACAAGTAGTCAGCCAGCCACAGAGAGCCCCAGTTCAATGATTAGTACCTGAATAGGGATGATTTTGCCGATGCCCAAAGTATAAATCGGGCTAGACTCACACTTTCCTGATTCGGTGCTAGATGTCCTTTTGTCCACCTCAATGAGGCTAACAACGGGCTAGACACCTGCCTATTGCGGCCGCGGCTTTGGCCGATATCGGTATCTAGCAAGCGTTCTAGATCGCCATCCTCTTCCGGCGCTGTATCCAGTTGCGCCCCGGACGGCTAAATGGGTTTAGGAAGCTTCGATATTCTAAGTAGGACTCCTGGTTCTATACGAGATGCAAGGGGACATCTCGATGGCCAGACCTAGCCACCGTACTCGAATTTTTCAATATATAAGTCCCTGGAAACAAGCTTCTCTGGCTACCAGCAGCATTTCTTAACGCGTTATACTAATCTTCTCCTACTGCATTGCATTCCACGAAACACCACTCTGGATTATTTAACTCGGGTCCCAAACCCAGCTTGCACCACGAGCAGGTGGGAAATATGAAGCTACTTTCCTTTCTCTTCTTGCTCGGCGTCGCCACTCTCGCCACAGCTGGAGCCTGCAACAGTGGTATCAATGCAATCGCCGTCCCTCTACTAAAGGGATATCCCCCTGCGCAGTCCTTCTGTAGCGCAAAATACCCTCAGCCAGTCGTATCCGTTACATTCAAGGATAAACGGGGATATATTCGAACATCTTCCACAACGACAACCACAAGACACTCCTCCTCGACTACCACGACGACAACAAGACTCCCATCAACTACGCCCACCACTTCAAGAAGTGCGACGACGACTCAGGACGCCAAGGCATCGCAATGGTCTGTCTTGGTGTCCGAGGCTGGAGCAGCTTTATCGACCTTCTGCTCCTGTATCGAAACTCCCAGCACCAAAACTGTGAGTCGACGGTCAAAGTGATAGATGCGCTGTTGCTAACAAATGCTTGCAGGTTACTCCCATGACGACGACAACAACAACAACCACTACTACCACAAGCACGATTCCGACAACGACGACTTCAACGCTTGCCTGCGTCCCACAGGGGGGCGTCTGCAATGGAAACAACGAATGTTGTCAGACTCCAATGCAGTTCTGCTTCGGGGCATCCATTGGTGCTGTATACACGTGCAACACTCCGGAACCCACGTCATTGAAAAAGAGAGATGTACCTGCTACAAGCATGATTCGGGGGAGAAAATATGGTTAAGCTGGGGGACTCACAAGGCGATGGCTGGCGCATTTGCTTCAACCGTCCAGTGTCATGAGTGATCTTATAGTAAAGATGTCGTAGGACGTTACCACCACCTCGAGATATGAACCTCTTTGCTGTTTCCTTTTGCGCGACCCAGTTTGCTCCCCACCTTTTGTCTTCAACAGCTTCCGGAATCTGAACCTTTGAAGATAAATTATGTAAATTATGCAATATGGGGAGAAGTATGCAAACAGTTATGTAAGTGTTATGCAGTACCATACCGAATCCGTCTCCCCTTTTCTTGCGGCGGTGTACCCTCTCCTTGCATATATTCCAGATGACGGTAATTGACAAATCAAAATTAAAAAAAAAAAAAAGAAAGGAGGCGCCTCAGACATGTAGGGATGTGCCCAATTTGCCCAATCGGCTCGTCTATACCGCGGATCTTCAGGCTGCCTCTTTCACAAGGAGTGAAGCGACCTCGGTAAGTGAGCATCGGCTATCATAACCCAAAATACTGAAGCATTGTGACCTGCGATACTGGGCTCTGGCAACATCAGTATTGCGCAAAGGGACCAAGTCTCATGAGCGAATGCAGCGCATCCCCAGTAGCTCCCCTTCTCGATATCACTGGCCCCTTCATGCCCCGATTTCCCCTTCCTGCCGGCAACACAAGTACTAGTCTGCTAAAGGTACCTGGGCTAACCTCCAAACATCTTCAATCTATGTATACCACCAAGACCGCAGACGATCAAGACGATCCCTCACCACCAGTTCTGAAGCAGTATTTCAGACAAACAAATACGAGAAAGGCTTCAATGAGCTGCTGTCAGGATCTATGTGCCTTCCTCATTGATACTCGGTATCAGATCGGCCGGGCCCGGCTGAAGGCATTGCTTGAATCCTCTCCAAGTTATAGAGGCACGAATAGGCATTGAGGACCCATCATGGCAACCTCGGTGAGGGATCCACAGTTACTGTGGGCCGTTTAAGCGGATCTGGGGAGTGAATCTAGACATTGAGGATATCGTATCCCCCACTCTTTACGCAGATGGTGCATTTCGTTTCACATGCCATATGGCCAGGTATTCGCTCGCTAACTCGGATCCATGTTCAACAGCGATGGTCCGGCCACTACTACTCGTAAGCCCAAGGTCCGAGGCAAGATAGTACCTAACACATGAAGTCGTGTTATTGCTTCGACCCAGCTTTGGCTTTTATATAGGAATACCGTGGCCCCTGCCCTTCTCGTATCGCAGGGTTCTTTGCTAGCTTATTCCCTTTCCTGAAACCATCGCAAACAATGGCGATCCTCAGCAACACGACGACGCATGCCACAGAGGGCAGACCGGGGAAAGGGTTCGAGCAGGACCGACAATGGAACTGGAGGAACTTCTGGATCTGTTTCGCCCTTGCGAGCTCAGGCATGGCGGCATTTGGCTACCCATCCTCGATCATCGGCGTCACCCTCGCACAGCCATCGTTCCTCTTCTATATGAAGCTCATCGACCCCGCGACGGGAGAGAAGGCCCACAACGCCGACTCTCTGATCGGGGCCATGTCTGGTGTCTTTCAGGTTTGGGAGAATCCCGCAACATGGTTTCGTGGCCAGGCCAGCCCGTACATGAGCCTTGACTGACCAATTCATGACCAATAGGCCGGAGCCTGTATAGGTGTCATGATGGCGAGCGAAATCATGGACAGGTGGGGACGAAAGGCAGCAGCAGCATTCTGTGTGGTCACGAGCCTCATTGGCGGTGCAGGTCTGACTGGTTCGGTCAACACGACCATGTTCATTATATTCCGCTTGATTGCTGGAGGAGGAGCATGGGGGTTCCTTACACTCAGTGCGTTGTCCATCACAAATGCCTGGGCCGGCAGCTTGCGGCGGCGATGCTGACTTTTGCTCAAGTTCCGGTCTACATGGCCGAGTTGGCACCGCCAAAATTGCGAGGCTTCTTTGTCGGCCTGATCGGGGTGTTCATCAACGTCGGCTACTCCATCGCCACTTACATGGGTCTGGCTTTCTACTATGTTGAAAACAACCCGGGCGCACAATGGCGAGGGCCTCTCGGTCTTGCGCTGATTTTCCCAGCCATCCATATGCTAGTCGTCTTATGGGCGCCAGAGTCGCCACGGTACCTGTTGATGAAAGGCCAGGTCGAAGACGCCAAGCGGATCGTCATGGACATCCACAAAGTGCCCAACGACCCGGATCAGGAATACGCCCGTGGCGAGTTTTACCAGATGCAGAAACAGGCAGAGTTCGACCGGAGTCTCGCGCCGACGTACCGGGCCATGTTCTTCAAAAAATCGTACCGCCAGCGGAATCTGTTGGCCTGTGGTTTCGCTTTCCTGGGGCAGTCCACCGCGGTCCTGGTCATCAACAATTATGGTCCTACGCTGTACGGTGCTCTTGGATACGGCACCGTGGATCAGTTGAAGCTCCAGTGTGGATGGATCACCATTGGCAACTTTGCCAACCTTTTCGGTAAGGGCGTTGGCGAAGATACTTACGAAGAAACAAGATCGGGACTAACATCGTGCCACAGGTGCTGTGATTATAGACAGGGTGGGTCGACGCCTTCTCATGCTCGGAGGCATCTTCGGCTGCTGTATTTGCCTGATCATCGAAGCCGCCATCGTTGCCAACTTCGCCAGCCCGGTGCCCACGACGCCGAACTTCCCCGCGCTGCGGGCCGGTGTTGCCATGTTGTACCTCTTCCTCCTGTGCTACGGCTGCGGCGTCGATGTCGGTGGCGTCGTCTTCTACAGCGAAGTCTTCCCAAACCATATTCGGGCAAGGGGTGTGGCGATGGCCATTTGTGTGACTTCTCTCGCCGATCTCATCTACCTCCAAGTGGCCGCCACGGCATTCGCGAACATTGGCTGGAAGTTCTTCCTCGTCTTCATCATCATTTCCGGCCTCGGCGGCATCGTAGCTTTCTTTGTAATACCAGAGACGAAGGGATTGCCACTCGAGGAGATCTCCGCCATCTTTGGAGATACCGACGAGGTTGTCGTCTACTCGGAGGATATCCACGTCGACCATCAAACGCATGATCTCGTCGTGGACGTCCATACTGGCAAAACGGTTGGGGACCCTGGGGTGGAACCCGTCCGGAAGGTAGCAACAGAAGCACCAGGGGATCAAGGAGACAACAAAATGGAGGCAGCTCATGTCGAGGGTTCTGCGTTGATAACTTCATCGACAGAAAAAGACACCTGAGTGAAACGCCTAGACTTCCCCAGGTCCACCATGTGTATTTACCTCTAGACTCTATACCGATATATTTATCCCTGGACGGACGTGACCCCACAAAGGTGCAGTCTCCGCTCTCCGTTCTGGAAAATAGCAGCTCTGGCTTTGACTGTTGATCAGGTTATGTTTGTTTTTTTGACCGACGCGGCGAGGGTGCCTCTTGTCCTTGTATACGAAAACGGGCGAGCTGTACACGAAGTCTTAAGCCGGCCCTGCGCGGAGGTGTCTAAGCCAGAAGAACGGCCGAGCTGGAGGGAAGCATTATGAAGCTTTACGTTTTCTGGTGAACAAGATTGACACAGTGCCCATTCGGGTAACTGGTAGTCCCCGAGGCTAGTGGAACCATCTGCCGATCATAGTCGACATGTTGGTACTAGTGTGTGAAGCTTGCCGAGGCCCATCCGAGGCCGGCTCAATTCAGAGCATCGAGCATATTACACTCTGAAAGAAAGTAGGCCGGGTTGATTAGAATATGTATTAGAGCCCACCGAGCCCCATCATGCCACTCTGTACATCTGTCCTCGCAGCAAACTTCCGCGGACCGTCGCTGCCTTATATCAGCACCCAACAGCGGGTGGCTACGGCTGTCGACCTGTGTCTACCTTCAAGATGAATATTAACGATCAGGGTTTCATTCAACACGAAAGTATTAAAGTGCAGATTGTGTTGAGACTGACATGTGTGTTCTGCCACTTCCCCAACTCACAGAATAGGACGAAACCTCACCATCTAGTGACGACTTCAGGTGCCTGACGCGGCTACACACATGTCACACATGTTGTTGAATCTCCTCACTCCGCACGAACACACCACGCCATGGTGAGCCTCGGCAGGGGTGGGTTTGCGCGGAGAAGTGCGGGCATCGCTTGCGACCAACATCACTCTCGCTATCGTTTTCATAAAAATGTATGGAAATCCTCGATCATTGATGTTGTATCAAAAACAATCAACCTGACCGACGCGACCGAGATAGTCTTTTCCACCATGGCCACCCAACTCGACTTCGACGTGTTGATTATTGGCGCTGGATTGAGTGGAATCTATTCCCTGTATCGTATGCGCCAGCTGGGATTGAAAGCCAGAGTACTTGAGGCTGGCACAGGCGAAGGAGGGACATGGTATTGGTTGGTGCCACCGGATGTTGTTGAGTAACCAGGGATCGTGGACGAGGTTGACTCTGTCTGCAGGAATCGATACCCCGGCGCCCGCTTTGATTCTGAGAGTTATTCTTACAACTACTCCTTCTCACAGGAGTTGCTGGATGAATGGAGCTGGACGGAGCATTTTGCCCCTCAGCCCGAGACGTTGCGATATATTCAATTCGTCACCGATAAGTTCGACCTGCGACGAGATATGCAATTCAACACCGAAGTCCAATCGGCACATTACCACGACGACAGTCGATCGTGGGAACTGACTGACGACAAGGGTAACCGATATACCTCGAGGTTCCTGATCACTGCGATGGGTATTTTGAATAAACCAACCCTCCCCAACATTCCAGGTCTCGACGACTTCAAGGGACAAGCCTTCCATACCGCCCGCTGGCCACGGGAACCTGTCAGTCTCCAAGGCAAGCGGGTGGGAATAATCGGCACCGGGGCCACGGGAATACAAATCATCCAGGAGATTGTGAAGACCGTGGGCCATTTGACAGTGTTCCAGCGAACCGCGAACTGGTCAGCTCCACTCCGCAACGCAAAAATCACGCCAGAAGAGATGGACGAAATCCGTAAGCAATATCCCGAGATATTTAAGAAGTGCAAGGAATCAGCCACTTGCTTTGTGCATCCAGCAGAGCCACGGAAGTTGGCCGACGTGTCCGAGGCGGAAAGGCTGGCACATTGGGAAGACATATACTCGCGCCCGGGGTTTGCTAAATGGGTCAGCAACTTTCCGGATGTCGCGTATGACCGGCAGGCAAATGCTGCCTGTAGCGAATTCTTCGCCAACAAAATCCGAGAAAGGGTCAAAGATCCCGTCACGGCAGAAAAGCTCATTCCAAAGGACCACGGCTGGGGAACGCGACGGATCCCAATGGAGACCCATTATTTCGAGGCATACAACCAAGATAATGTTCGATTAGTCGACATCAAAGAAGACCCGATCGAACGAGTGACAGAGAAGGGGGTCAAGACTCGCAGTGAAGAATTTGAGCTGGATATTCTGATTTACGCCACTGGTTTTGATGCTGTGACAGGGTGTTTCACTGCCGTCGACTTTCAGGGCGTTGGCAACAAGAAACTGAACGACGTCTGGAGCGAGGGCCCCCGTACACAGCTAGGTCTTTTCGTGCACGGATTTCCTAACATGATGATGGTCATGGGGCCTCACCAGATGTTTGGTAATATACCCCGAAGTATCGAATTCGCGGTTGACTGGATTGCCGACTGCATAAGCTATTGCCGAGACAACAACATTACACGGATTGAAGCGACTGAGAAGGGAGTGGCAGAGTGGACTGACCATGTCTACAAATGTTCCGAGGGCCTGTTGACAAACGAGGTTGACTCTTGGATGACAGGGATCAACAAGAACCTTGCTCACAAGCAGAAGAGGACCATTGCACGCTACATGGGACCTGCTCCGGGGTATAGGAAGAGGTGTGATGAGGTTGCTGCAAGGAAATATTCAGATTTGGCCTTGGCTTGATAGTATGGTCCGTTGGCCACTGTTATGGCAAGGCACAAGTTTACCTTTGTGTTCTGATGAGAGCGAGCGGTGTTTTGAGCTTGTCGGAAGGGCTTGCATTGTCTCTTTGGCTGTTGTTAACAGCACCGCATGCTGTAGTCAGTTTTTTCAGATAGGCCATGGTTAGACCCCGAGGCGACGCCTCGACCTCTATGTGGTTCTGAGAATTTGCTTTAAGTCGTGAAATCTTCTGTGAAAAGAGACTTTCGGCCAGGGGCGGCGTGAGATTAGCATGGTAATTAGAAGTTGATGGAAAATAGAATCGGGCTGCGGCGGTGCAGGAAAGGACTGAGTTGAGTTGAGGAGCTAGAATCTGCCCACTTACATGTAGGTGAGTCTGGGCGTCAGTAGTTTAGGTGCTTTTAGGTGCTAGGAACCAGCCCGGAAGGTACTTATTAGGGTCCTTTCTAAGTGACAGGCGTGACAGATGAGCCCCGTCTAGATACCTCGATTGGCGCTCCCAAGGCTTTTCGCTAAGTAATTAAATAGGGGAACCGACACCTGCCTAGTAAGTTAGGGTTATAGGTAAAGCACTCACCCTCTGTCAATGTCTAGTTGCCGCCACCCGTCCGCCTTCACTCTTTGCATTCATGTCATCCTTCGGAATAACCATTATCAAAGACGCATCCTTGAAAATGCTCCCCATCCCCACTGGACAACTATCATCCAAAAATCCCTCAAGGGAGAATACACTCCACTCCTTGGAGATATCACACCCTCGGCAGTCATTTGTCTCTGCTGCGGAGTTGTGACTATCTCCGACTCATCTCATAAGCATGAGGACGGAGCTGGTCCAGAAAAGGTGGCTCATATGACTCCAAAACTGTGGTTGACTTTGGCTATATCGTGGTTTGGCTGATAGAGTTCTCGATTCGACTGAGTATCCCGAACTTTTTTTGGCAGGATGGCCCAGGAATATCAGCTCTATATCAACGGCAAACAATGCCAGGGTGGCCGCCCAAGCGAAGACACGATCAATCCGTACACCAATAAACCTTGGGCAAAGGTGGCACAGGCATCCGTCGAAGATGTACAGGCTGCAATTCGAGCGGCTGGGGTGGCCTTTGAAAGCTGGTGCAAAGTTCCTGGTGTCCAGAGAGCCAAACTGCTGAACAAGCTGGCCGATCTGATCGAGGAAGAAGCTGAGTCGCTGTCCATAATCGAGTCGTCCGACAATGGCAAGATTCGACGCGAGACAAAGAGCCAGATGTTCTTTTCCGCCAGAAACTATCGGTTCTTTGCTGGGATGGCCGACAAGTTGACTGGCGAGGTGAAGCCGATGGACAATCCGCATGTCTTCGACTATACCATGCGCGAGCCTTATGGTGTTTGTGCTTTGATCACGCCGTGGAACAGTCCCATTGCTATCCTCACCAACAAGCTGGCTCCGTGTCTCGCAGCAGGAAACACGTGCGTGGTTAAGCCCTCGGAGTATACATCAGTGAGCACTCTATATTTCGCCAAACTTGTCGAGAAGGCAGGATTCCCGCCTGGTGTATTCAATGTCGTGACGGGAAAAGCAGAAGTCGGCAAGGCTCTAGTGACCAACCCAGCCATCGGTCGCATCAGTTTCACAGGCAGTGTCGATATCGGCCGCATAGTCGCTCAGCAAGGGGCGCAGAATATTGTTCCCGTAACGCTCGAGCTTGGAGGAAAGTCAGCAAACATCATATTGGATGATGCTGAGCTTGACCGGGCGATCCCAGGCAGTGTCGCAGGTATCTTTGCTGCGTCGGGCCAGACATGCATCGCGGGCTCACGGCTACTGGTCCATCGGTCCGTCTACGATACCGTCGTCCAAGGGATTCTGGAGCGGATCAAATCAATCAGATTCGGCGATCCGCAAGACATGACCACAGACATTGGACCTGCTGCGCACGCCGCACAATGGGAAGCTATACACCAACACATCGAAAAGGCCGAGAAAGCCGGCGCGAAATTACTGGTGGGCGGGAGAGAGGCGAGCAAAAAGATCGGAGGACTCTTTGTCGCGCCGACAGTGTTTGGCGACGTCGATCCGAACAGCGACCTCGCGCAAAAGGAAATCTTTGGGCCCGTACTCGCAGTGATCCCCTTTGATTCGGACGAGCAGGCCGTCAAGATCGCCAACGGCACCATCTTCGGCCTCGCTGCCGGAATCTGGACCATGAACATCCGACGCGCCCATAAACTGGCCAGCCAACTCAAAGCGGGTCAAATCTGGGTCAATACATACCGGGCGGGTGCCGCCATGGCTCCTTTTGGCGGGTACGGACAAAGCGGATATGGCAAGGAGCGCGGTACGGAGGCATTGCTGGAATATACACGCATCAAGAACGTCATGGTCGACCTCAGCGACGAGGTGAGGGATCCATTCACTATCAAGGTCTAGACAACACATGGGTTGTATGCAGACCAACACATCAGAAATGGACCTTTCGATGTTCACCGCCTGCATCGCTCAACATCTACAAACATGCGGCCGCTGTCGAGCGAGAAGATGGGAGGAGAGAGAACAGGAGAGGCCACCAAAGACCTGGACCGAACCAGAGGGATGATTCAAGTCTCCTGCAGGATTATGGTGGATATATATATTCAGTAACGGCTTCATGTCAGCGGCTGAGACGTACAACGACCATCGCAAAAGCAGTCAGTTAACAACGCTTTTTTGGTAGCGAGATAAGAGAGACAAACACCGTCTCAACCAGCAGACTTGTTCCCGCAGCGAGTACATCCATCCCCAACATGTCCCAACCAAACCCGATTGTTATCGCTATCGACTCGCAGCTGTCAAAGGTGGTGCATTGTAAGTCCTCGCCGTGGCTCTCGCTTGCTTGTTTGACTTGGTTGCTCCGATCCCAACATTCACAATACCAACGCACTCTGCTTCAAAACCGATTCCAGTCAGATGCCACATTAGACATCTAGGTTGAGTCTCGCCCATTCCATAGCTAATTTTCAAAGTGGAACCCCATTGCTTGCCGCATTTCCAGAACCGTTCGAATACTGACAATATGTTCGCATTGTACGCGATATGGTCGAGAAGCCGCCCTGGATGACCTTAACACTCAGACAGACCCATATAGCTGAATCCCGGGTAGGCGTAATCCACGGAAAGAAGTGCCATGTCCCTCTCTAGGGCTCAATCTAATTGACGTCCGCTTGTTATGTAAGACGATAATCTCTTCTCGAAGCCGTTCTGCGTTTTTCATGGCTTTCTTCATGATCTGAGGGAACATATTACCCTCGGACTGCCATCTCTTGATGTTGCCCTCTTCTTTGGCCAGCTTCTTTATTTTGACAGCCATTTTCTGGCAGATCCTGCAGTTGCCGGCGACCTTTTTAAGATTGGTGTGGTCGAGGAGGGTCGCAGGGCACCTCTCTCCGATATGATGTTGTCGTGCACATCGAAACTTCATATTCCCCCACCTAAAGTCGCCGCATTGAAAGTCAGTCCGTTCAAAGTGACACATATTGCTTGTTGCTATGTCAATATCTGAGCACTGATGGTGTAAGGCTGTCTTCGCAAGATTTCTCGAATCTGTGATCAGGGTAAATCAAACGGGATGAATTCCCTGTACGAAGATAGGGCTCTGCCTTCTGGCCGCAAAGGAAGCTCGGCTCAGATAGACAGCTGAGCAAGATAGCATAGCATAGATAAATCAGGCCGGGATCACTGGTGGGCGACGACATTGAATAGTAGTCCTTGCGAAGGCTGTGACGTCTTCTCTACCTTCCAGCTCAGCATGAAAATGGTGGCGTTCACGGCTTCACGCTCCGCGGACCATTCAACACAGTGGTGGTCGTTGTGGGCTTCGAGATCATTGGGGGCGAGCTGCTGTGAACTCTGCAGGAAGAGCAAACAAGATGTGTCTTCGTCCCTTGCATGTGGAACGGAAGGACGGGAACACTGAAGAAAGTCACCCACTCCCCGACGTCTCGCTAGACATTTTGACGTTGTCCCAATCACGAGAAACGTCAATTGTGCATTGTCCTTAAGGTTCGCGGAACCTGTTTCCGAGCGCATCTTGCATTGCCTTTGAGAAATGGGACCGAAAACAAGCCCTGACGATCGGACGAGACGGATAGAACAGGTCGTGGGTTGAAGAATAAACATTATGCCATACCGAGTGTTCCATCGCATGCTAGTGACATACATGTTGTCAGCAGCTCTGGTTGGCCCATCTCCATTGGTGTGATCGAAGGCGAAGGGCACCCAGGAAGGAGACTCAGCTGTAGTGACATCGATAGGCATCCAACAAGGGTTGTCCGATGGGTGATAACTGAAGAATGAGAAGTGAGGGAGTCAGTACCTCGTAATTGGTTCGATGACTTGGTCACTCGCAGCCTTGGCGCATGATGCGGCCGCAGAATCGATCCCACAAAATGACCAAGAAACTTCAGCTGATCGAGCCTGTATGCATGCAAGTCAGTTCTATGCTGACACTGCAAGGTAGTGCCCAATCGAGCGACGCAGGACAGTAGCTCCTTGTCACATTGATCAATCGTCTCAGAGCACACAACCTCCTCCACCATCGCACTCCTCCTTGCCTTGCCTAGTTGTCATCCTCCCGCCCATACGCTCGGTGCCCACGGCGTGCAAGATTTGCTTAGAGAACTGGGGTCAACCTAACACGAGAAGAGGGGCTTGACGGAAGTGGACTGGCTTGCCTTTCGTCCCAGGGACCTGGATCTCCCCCTAGCCTGCCTGCCTGCGACAAGGATCTACACCCACCACAAGCAAGACGAATGTCATCGCAAGATTGCTGCTGCCCATCATGTGGCAAAATGTGCGTCGAGGATAATGAAAGAGATGGCTCAGGCTACCTCGAAAGCCCGTGTGTTATCACACAGCAACCCAACACCGTATCACAGCGCTCACAGCAAATGCACTAAGGAGAGACGGGTCAAACCTCTCATTAAGAGTTCGGTCATTTCTTTACCCGCATTGGACATTGCAAACCCGTTGGTGTAAAAGTAGAAACATGTCGTCGGTGGCTTGCGGACCACCGACTGGGACTTGGGCTTCAGTGGCATAGGAGTGACAAAACCTCTCACGATTCTTCAATGCTTGCTCAACAGTGACAGCAATCACTGTGCCCTTGGATGTGGTCCCGATCCAGTGGAACTGGAAGCCGAATACCGGACCACACTCTGACACTCTACCGGATCGCCTGGGGCTTGCTAATGTGGACTGCCACAAGCACCTGGAATTTAGGGTCAGAAAAGGCCAGGCTTGCCGAGATAAACTCTGGGCGGCGCCTTCGGTGCCTCTGAGTGGTTCCACTGGTGCTCCAGTCCCTCTCGACCTGGAGTCGTAAAGTACTGTACCACCAATCCCGTCGCGAATCTTGGAACAATTGAGGGCGTCAACACTCTGTTCCTGCCAGCCGAGCTGTAACATATTCCTCCTTGACTCGTCAGCTTTCTCTTGCTGAAGAAATGTCTTTGGCATCATGTCCTCCCGTCTCAAGGCGCTCGACCCTCATCCAGCAGTTGACCAGTCGGGCAGACTGCCATCTGCTCAATCTCTGCCCATCTTCTGCGCTTAGTCTTCTCTGATCGTGCCAGAGACGGCCTTGGGCAATGCGATAAATTCTGCTGGAAGCAGGCAGTGATGGGTATTAGTCTCCTTAAAATCCAGAAAGATAGCTGCCTGCATAGGCTTTGCCATGCTGAAGGTCGAAACGGACACACAGGCAGGGAGAAACGCTTTCCGAGTAAGTGGTTTGGCTAGGCAGTCTACAGGAGATCTATGTCTCTGCTGGCAAGCATGAGGGCATCCGGATCAGACAGACACAACAACAAGAAGGTAAGCTCACATGCCATGACTTGATCCGCATCAATCCCGTCGATATCTCCTGGATGATATAAGCAGCACGAAGCATTGACAATTCCAACGAAAGACTTCGCTAGGTCCTCTATTTTGCGAGGACATAAAGAATCTTTAAAGGGGTTCGATGATTGAACAGATGAGCCTTCCTTGGATCATCAGAGCTGACTCGACTGCTAGGGCAAGAATCCCTTCAGAAACATAGTTTCTAAGATCATGTCAAGACTAATGTAAAGCAACCAGGTCTTTTGACTCGGCAGCAGCCCGCTCCTCATATGGCTGTTCTTTAATGAGAGGTTGCCTGATCGAGCGCATGAATAAGCGACGAGCGACTTCCAGACAGGATCATGCGTAGTTGCATGGCTTGGTGGAAACAGTTGACAGTATAAACAACAAGTTCATGATCCATGTTACCATGGTGCCATCTCCAAATTTTTGAGCGAGAAAAGAAGTCAGGCCTTCCAGATGCTCGGATGCGGAGCAATCTCTTTTCCGCCGGCTGACTGACATCTGGAACCCAAGCCAGTTCGGCCGCATCGCTTGACGGTCAAACCACTCACAAATCGACTTTGCGGTTATCCAAGTGCGTTGCATGTGCGAAACGGGCACAATTGGTCCTTTGATCGCAATTTATCGGTAAGGTTCCCTCCCGTGGTAAAACAAATGTCACTGCTGTTGCGTGTCAGCAGACCCATCAACTAGCACCTTCTGAACTCGTCACAACCTCCTTGCTTTCCATGACTTCTCTATCACAATAAACCTGAACCAATTGGAACCGCGGCCCACAGACTACTGGCAAATAAGAAGCTCGTCAATGGCTGGGAAGACCGAAGGTGGATGCTGGACTTGTCGGCTTCGCCGCAAGAAGTGTGACGGCGCAAAACCCAAATGTAGGAATTGCGCCTCCTTGGAAATCCCTTGCCACAGCAGCGCTAGCAAGCCAGAATGGATGGATAGAGGAAGACAACAGAGAGACATGACGGAGAAACTCAAATTGCAGGTCAAGCGACGCGCCGGTGCCCGGGGAGCGAGGCAAACAGTGCCAGAGTCTACAAATGAGATGGGAGGCCGGAACTTCATCATAGAGTCAGGACAGGCAACTTTGCAGGACCCTTCACGGCTAGGTCGCGAGACTCAGGCTTACACGAAACAAAGCAGTAGTACTACAACCTCCGCAGCCTCAGAGGCATATGTGGCACAGTGGATGACATCCGTCCTTGGATTTCTGGACGACTACGAGCAAGTCGACGACCAAATCCCCATGTTGGCACGCGGTCGGGACTTCGATGTCGACTTCCTAACGAAGTATTTGGACTATGTGTTTCCCCTCTTGTTCCCGTTCTACCAGCCCGGCCTTCATGAAACGGGCCGTAGTTGGGTGCTGGCACTTTTGAGGCGCAACAAAGTCGCCTTCCATTCCGCGATGAGCTTGAGCATCTACTTCTTCATATTCACGTTGATTGATACATACCCAGAGCAACATGGTGCCTGCAAAATTCAGCTCTGGAAAGAAGTAGGGAGGCAAACGGACAGGTGCTTTGAAATGATCCAGCACGACATACATGACCTGAGCCATCGTGGCCCACAAGTGATACTCATTGAAAAGGCGCGGGTGATGGAGAGCATTATTCAGTTCCTGATCTTCGAGGTGGCACTGAGTAGGTCCGCGAACTGGAATCTACATCTTACACCAGCTCTCGCACTGTTTGAGGAGATCTGGGAGAGCACCGCCGCAACAGCGTCTGAACCCGGATTACTTGCCGCTCTAGAAACAATGGCTGTACCTCTCCAGTTTGGCGTCGACCCTGATGGGTGCTACATTTGGAGTCCGGAACAGGCTGGATTCCGGTTCTTCACTGGCCTCTTGGTCTTCATCGACATTATTGCCAGTACAGCCCTGGAACAGCCGCCTCGGTTGCTCGACTGGCATCCACTTCTTCTTGACGTTCAAGACAATGGCGAGACGGATTTTGGCAAGGTTCCAATACGACTGTCGAATCTGATGGGCTGTCAGAACTGGGTACTGCTTGCGGTCAGTCAGATAATTGTTCTGAATGTCTGGAAACAGGATATGAAAAAGGTTGCAAGGCTGTCGATGATAGAGCTTGTTGATCGGGCGAGCCAGATATCTCGTTCTTTGAATGATGGAATTTCAAGCCTCGACGAGCAAGCTCCAGACTGTGGGAAAGCCAATTCTCTCAACTTTCGTTCCTACTTGAACCCTGGTCTTTCTGCGTCGGGGAGGACTTCTACGACCACTACACGCATCTGGGCGTACGCTGCCCACCTGTATCTAGCAGTCGTTGTTTCTGGCTGGCAGCCATCCACCACAGAGAGCCGCGTCGGCGTGGCTGGGATTCTCGCACTACTGCAATCAATCGACTCTCCTGATCATCTTCGGACTCTTGCTTGGCCACTCTGTGTTGCAGGCTGTTTATGCGAGGGGCCAGGTCAACAAGAACAATTTCGACAATG